ATACTAATGAACTGCTTTTGATAACTTTATTTTCTAGGCATAAAAGATATATAAGAGTTTTGAGAAAAACATATCCATTCTCAGTGTTCACTCTCTGATCATAAGGGCCATTTTTAATGGAAATTACTCAAGAATAAGCACACCAAAAGATTTACTTCGTTGTTTATTTTCCCCAGATTTGTCTCACCCAGGTTCAAACCTCCTATTTTTCTTCACTGGCCACCTTTCTTATTATTATGATGTCTTATCTACCCCGTGAAATAATTACTAAAAGTATAAGGGCTGGTAATTTCTTTCTCATCTTAAGGTTCTTTCACAAAATGACAACGAATTCATATTCTGGGAGAACTTAGCATGTACAGGGCAACTACACAATGCCGCTGGTACGACTTTGCTCAGTCTTCAGAATTATCCTAGGTAGGTACTATTATTATTCTGTCTATAGAAGAAGGGGCAGGACCAGCTAGTTAAGAAAATTCCTGAACTGACACTACAAGAGCTGTAACAAAAATGTTGTCAGCCTGGTTCCAAAGCCTACATTCTAGCCAACTAGATTTGGCTTAGACTGAGACAACATACTTTATGTAAAATCACTGTAATTAGGCTTTATTTATTTCTAATCAAACCTCCATGGGAGAGTTAACACATCAAATTGATGATAGCACCTTACAGTGATCATGCATGAGCTGGTGGTTTATCAAACTGTTTTGTTTGTTGATATGAGAGTTGGTACAAGCAAAAACCCACAGGGTCCCTTGGTAGAAAGAAAATCAAATGAAGAAAATGTGCTAAAAGAAAGAGTCTCAAAATATCGCCACTTCAAGGCTCTGGATTTGAAGTCAGTGACATCAGACACCAGATTCTACTTGAAAGTGTTAGTTGCTCAATTGTGTCCGACTCTTTGCGACACCACGAACTATAGCCCTCCAGGCTCCTCTGTCCATAGAATTGTCTAGGCAAAAATACTGGAGGGGATAGCCATTCTCTTCTCCAGGGGATCGTCCCAACCCAGGAATCGAACCAGGGTCTCGTGCATTGCAGGCAGATTCTTTACCATCTGAGCTATCAGGGAAGCCCCACTTTACTTTGTTCTAGGCTAGTTAACCAGTCCATCCTAAAGGAAATCAGTCCTGGGTATTCACTTGAAGGATTGATGTTGAAGCTGCAACTCCAATACTTTGGCCACCTGATGCGAAGAGCTGACTCATTTGAAAAGACCCTGATCCTGGGAAAGATTGAGGGCAGGAGGAGAACAGGACAAGAGAGGATGAGATGGTTGGATGGCATCACCGACTCAATGGACATGGGTTTGCGTGGACTCCGGCAGTTGGTGATGGACAGGGAGGCCTGGCATGCTGTGGTTCATGGGGTTGCAAGGAGTCAGACACAACTGAGCGACTGAACTGAACTGAACTGAGGCTACTTAAAAGCTGGTTGCTCACCTCCCTAATCTTCCCAAAGCCTGAAAAACATTGATTAACAAGAAATTTATTAAAGAAGAAGGAAATTATTTTTTTTAATTTTAAGTCATAAAAAAGAAATAGCTCACTTTGAATATAAAATTGACATAGAGATAAATAATAAACTACTTACTTAGATTCTCTGAAGTTGGTTTATATGGGAGCAACTTTTAAGCTTTTTTTAAGCCTTTTAAGAAATTTTTAAGCCTTTTAAGGCTGCTCTCAAGTCTATGGAATGGTTGAATGGACTGCATCTCAGAGGTCTGACATGACTGGATGTTCTTTAGTAAGACACCAATTTAGATTTGTGTTGCATCAACAGAATTAGTTAGATGTACTACCTGTATTATAGCTAGGATTCTTTCCATCTCTACTCAATATCTGCTTGTTTCTCTACCCAAGCCTGCCTAACAATCTGAAGTTCCCCAAGGAGAACACTTAAATCAGATTAATTGATGCATCATTTGTTATTGCCAAAACTTAGGATTTACTTTATTTAAAAAAAAAAAGTCTGTTGGGTGAATACATCTCTTTAACCAACCTGGTCTGCCTAATTGCCAACTCAAGTTCTAGGTTCCCAGTTCCTTCTTTCCTTAACCTTTGTTGCTCTTCTTGATCTTCTGCCATCAAAAACAAACTGCAGTTTAACTTCTCAAGGCCCTTCTTTGTTTCCATGTTTTCCTTACTCCTCCTTTTCTTATATGATTCTTTTAATGTTCTAGTCTTCATATTATGGTTATTCTTGATTTCTTTCTCCTTTTATTTTTGTCCCTTATCATTTTCTCCATGTATTTTGGCCAACTGTTCTTATTCCCTTTCACAGTTTATTTCCATCCTCTGGTAGTTTTTCTTTTTTTTCTTTCTTTGCCTTCTTATCTCCTCTTAAGAATCTGTATTAAACTTAAGTTTCATTTGCATTTTAAGAAAAGAATACTTCCTTCAGGAAAAGTACTCATCACAGTTCTATATTTTCCTCATTAAGAACACAAAGTTGAGGAGGAAAGTGTTTCTGTTTCCATCTCACCTTGGGTATGTATACTCAATAGGGGTATAATTATTGTTCCTGGCACTAGTGGTAAAAAACCTGCCTGCTAATGCAAGAGACATAAGAGATAAGGGCTTGATCCCTGGGTCAGGAGGATCCCATGAGAAGGAAATGGCAACCCACTCCAGTGTTCTTGCCTGGAGAATGCCATGAACAGAGGCGCCTGGAGGGCTACAGTTCATATGGTCACAAAGAGTCGGATATGACTAAAACGACTTAACATGCACGCATGCATGAAGGTGTATGAGTCAGATGACCTTTATATATGTCAGCCAGATCAAGTCAGTAAATATTAGCGGCATGTGGTCAACAGAGAGTGGCAGAGAAAGTAGAAGAAACAGTCAGCAACCAGTTCTGACCAGAGCTGACCAAACAAAACAATCAAATCAGTTGCCCAGCTAGGCGGTTTCAGTTACAAGTCACAGGAAATCCAACTCAGTCTGGTTGAAACGAAAAAGGCTAACACAAGGGATAACTCCGTAAATAGCAATGTCACCGAGAACCTGCATTCCCATCTATGGTGTTAGTTTTACTCTAGACCTGGCTCCTCTCAAGAACTCAGCAGACCCTAGGACTAGATAGATGCCTTTTGCTCACACGCAACAAGAAAAATGCATTCCCAGACAAAGTCCTAAGATTTCACTGGACTGGTCTAGGTCCCACACCTTCTTCTGAATCAGTCACTATGGAAGGGGAAATGGAATGCAGTGATCTGCTAATCCTAGTCCAGGTGCTCCATCTCTGGATCCTGGGTAGGTAGGATATGGTTTCAGAGAAGGAGCAATGAGGGATGGTATGCTAGAAAGGCAACCAGCAAATGTTCAATGCACACAGACAGCAAAGCTGAATGCAGACAGTGCAAAATAACAAGCTGCACTCTACTTATTAATATATGTTCTTTTTTCCAGTTATTTTGATAATTATAAGATTATAAAAACTGAGATAACACATTTTATCTTATGCAAATCCAGTTCCTTTTCATTCTTTTATAATCAATTCCTCTAGGAACTCTTTCTGAGAATGTTCACCCCAAACAGTTACCTATTTTTATTACTGCTAAATAATTTAAATGTTTTTACTGTAAAATAATGAGAAGGAAAAAAAAACAGAATAATAACGAACTACAACAAATGATTATTTGAGAAAATAATGATATTCTTGTAGGAAAAGAGTGCTTAAAGACTAATTAGTGAGTATTTAAAAAAAATATTATAGAGTCATTTTAAGCAAATATAGGGGGAAAATCACTTTTGAAAGTGAGAACAGACATGAAGAAGCACACTTCATAAGTGAGTAACTATCACTGTTCTCTCCTATTCCTAATCTCATGATATCTCTTTTTATTAAGTACTAAATAAAGACCGTATCAAATTAAAGGCCAGTATGCTAATAACTAAACATACAGAAAAGTCACCTGCCTGGTTATTTGTGGATGGGCAGGGGTGAAGGGTGAGGGCCAATTTGACAACAGCAGTTATTTACCGATACTTAAACCATACACAGGTATTCAAATAAATGAACGTTAATCCTCAGTCCTCCAAAAAAGACCTCCTGTATTTTTTTAGAGCTTCTGAACATCAATTTCAAAAGAATTCTCCCCAACCTGTAAAATACTTTTATTTTCTCTGTACTTTAAAAAGAAAGAAAATAAAAAAACCAGAATGTCATCTGCAGCAATGAGTCATCAGCCACGGCAGCTCTACAACACCCAGGTCTTCCCCTTTCTCTGCAGCCCTTTACAAACGAAGACTATCTTTTAAATCCCGGCGCTGCCTGGATGAAAAGCGTAATTAATTCTGGCCTTTTCATGCCTACTGAAACACTTTGCGCACATCACAGCAGTGGGTTTGAGCACCCTCTGTATACCCAAAACAGGGAAAGCCATGGTCACAATCCAGTTCTACTCAAAATGCTCTGTAAGTCACCATGGTAGTTTTGCTACTACTTCATCAAATCTCTCTCTGACAAGCAGATCACGCTAAAGAAAACTCACAATCAACCACCTGTATGAACAACTTTTTTTTTTAACTTTTAAAAGTGTGGAATATGTATTTTCCAAATTCTTGGCACTGAACACATGCTTTCATTTCTCAACTTGTGGCAGCTATAGAGGGTATTCAAACAACTTAATCTCTTAGATGCAGCTGCTCAATATCATTTCCCTTTATTAGAATAATTTTTCATATTTTAATACATACTTACATGCTCTATTACCAAGGCTATTATTCCATTGAGAATTTCAAAACTTAAATTTTCAAGGTTCCATTTCAAAACACAATATGGGTAAAATTTTTAAAAAGAAATTTAACTAAAGATATACCTTAAAAAATTTAGCCCTCTTTACAATACTTAATTATTCTAGCCCTATTTGAGGAGTCTTGAAAGAAAATGCCTACTTTTCAAAGAAGTTACTCCTGCTGTAAGTGAAGTTTCTTTGTTTTAATTACAGACTGTATATAGAACACACAAATAATGAAATACAGAATTCCTCTCACCTGTTTGGGTGTGACCCCAGGCATGCGAATATCCAATGCAAAATCTGATGAATCAATAGGAATTACTGGTCTGGTGGTACCAAGACATTCATTGGAAAATGATCTGGTAGTTTCCTTAAACCTTAAAAACAAGACAATTTCAATATCCTTGAGCATAATGGGATTTTAACTGGACATGGGAAGAGAACAAAAAAAGGAATTCTATGACTTTAAGACTAAATATTGTTGACTTAGACACAATGAAAAGATGTAATTACCACATAATGTTCTATAACATTCTCAGAATTGCATCATATAGTCCAAGAGCAACATGCACCCAATTTGTGAGCAAAACATAAGAAAAGCAATCAAGCAGGCTACGTTCAAAGCTTGATGCAATATAAACCTGTGGAAATATATATTTGTTTCTGTTAATGAAAGTACAGTATTAATCAATTAGAATTATCATAGGCCTGTCAATACTCTCATGGCAGAAACATTACTACAAGCCAGTAAAAATTTGGGGGACTCCTTTACGAGTGTCCATTATTACTAGTCAGAAACAAAAAACCAACAACAACATTGCTAGAAGGCAGAGTTTAAGGATGGGGGCGGGGGGGAAGCCTGTGATGTGAATTACAAATGTACAAGTGCATAAATATTTAACATGGTAATTATGAAGAGTGTATACAGCTCAATGCTTTCTTGTGAGTTCTTAACAGTCTGTGATCTGCTTCGCCCCACCAGTTACCTACCTTTATATTTTACTCTTCAGGCTGTTACAAACTAGAAGGCATTCCAGCCTAAATGACGATATTGTACTTTCTCAAATTATCTCCCCAAGAGGGAGTGATGAGTATTGGAAATCACAACTTCTAATTGGGAGTTTTGAAAGCCAGGACAGCTTGGCTATATAGGACAGGGTGGGGGCTTTTTTTTTTTTCCTCCTGTAAGGGGGAACTTTTTTTACAAGAAGTTTAACTGTGTTAAAATTCCCAGGGATTGCGGCCAAGTGAATCAACCACGTATATTTCTCCAACACTCTTCCGTTTTTTGGTTTTTTTCAACCGCATGCAGAGAAACCATCCAAACCACATGTCGCCTGTTTAGAAACAGATAAATAAAAATCAAAAACAAACAAACAAACACCCACCTCTTAAAGACAGAAAGTGGGCTTCGGAAGCCCACACAGCCGCTGGGCAACACGCAGAGGAGAACTAGCAGGCTCCGAAAGCCAGCCATGTCCTCGGCGCTCCGGCCCGGCCGGGAGGACCGGGCGGCGCGGCGCCGGGCGGGCGAGAGGAGCAGGGCGTCCCCGCGGCGGCCACACAGCAGCGCCGCGCGCGCTCAGCGCCCGCGGGAAGCCGGGACTTCTGTCAGGTCCGCGAGCGGAAGCGCGCCTCCCCTCAGAGCCGGCGGCGGGGGGCGGCTAGACGCGCGGGATGCTTATCGCTCGGGCGGGACAGGGGCGGGGAGGGCTCCCACACAAACCCGCGTCAGTCATCGTCCGGAACCTGCGAAAAATAGAAGCAGATAATGGATGACTAAACACATGACGGCGTGCGTCCCCTCAGCAAATCCCAGCTGAGGTGCTTTCATCCGTTCGTCGCTCCGCAAGCTTGAGCCCACGCCTGGGGAAAATGCGGTCTGTTGACCTCCCTCCCCCACCCCAAAACCAGCCCCCCTCAGATTTCACATCCCCCTTAGCCCCCCAGTTCTGCCTTTTCCTGCTTTCTCCTCTCTCACACCCACTCTTCTTTTCTCTGCGACTTCTTCCCCCACCCTTTCCCCTCACATTCGCCCCTGGCTCCGGATTTCTTCTCCTCACTTGCTATGTCACTCCCTTCTAGGATGGAAAATGCACTTGATACCTCTGCTGGTTTTAATATCTGCACTTAATACCTCTTTCATTTTATTACCTTTGATGTCCCTGAACCAAAAGAAAAGGGAACTGAAGTTATGGGTAAAAGCAAAGTTGTTATTGGCAGCCATAAATGGAGAAAAAGGTCTTATAGACATGAAAGCTAATTATGCTTCTTGGTTCTTGAATGTAACGAAGTTTTTCATACAAATGACAGGCTAAGGCAAAAGAAAAGGGAAAAAAAAGAAACTAAAGCAGAGTTTATATACGAGAGTAATCATATAGAAAAAGACTTTGAGAACAAAGGCATGTTCACACACACACACATCACAGATCTGAGGAGAGAGATAACCCCTGCCAAGAATGATCATCACAGAAGTAATCACTGAAGTTCTCAGAATCATTTTTAAAACAAATAAAAAATCTATAGCTAACACCAAATATGAAATGTAAGCACCTATTTAAAAATCCTGCATCTAACATACAAATAATAATTTCTTACTTAAAAGGCATGCCTCCCAAAAGATATTCATTCCTGAATAAAGTTTGGAGACTTACAGTGCAATGCAATTAGAAGCAGTAAGGAGAATCTCAGCTGACCCCCACATGAATTTTATATACAGAGAGTATGATCTAAAACTTAACATTAATATAAACATCAGGCCATACAGAACTAATGTAACATCTCAACATTTTGTGAAGAGGACTCAACTAGGCTAAATTTTAAAAGCTGTGTGTTTTGACTTTACTCTTATTCTGAATATATTTCAGATTGTGTATCAACTATGTATATTTTAGAAAGGTATTATTTTAAAATGTATCATTCACAATATGAAAATACTTTATAGAAAAATATTTAAAGGAAAAGATTTCTTAAAGTTCTGTCACAAATAAATCCACTGGCCAGATGAATAAGGGTTAAAAAAAAAAAAATCAGTAAGATCGTAGAGAAATGCCCCACAATAATAAATTAGCATCCAAATCACTCCCTGGAAATCACAAGAGAGTGAATCTAATATAAATAAAACAAAACAAACAAAAAATCAAACAAAAACTAAACTAAGACAAACAGAAAGTATGACCTGAACTTGAAATTAGAAGAGTTCACGGTCATTGCTTTCTAGAAGAAACATAGGTTACATAAACTATAAATAAAACACGATTGACTATCCAACCTATGCAAGGATGCTTGAGGCTCCCCAGCAACCAAGGACCACAGTTAATTTACATAAGCAATGACATTTTTAAAAGACTGATGATATTTGTCTGAACTTTCTCTTTGGCTTGCTTTGTTAGCTTTCAGAACAAAAGCCTTTAGCTTTGTCCGAATCCTGTGGGTAAAGGAAAGAACTCCTTGTGTGAGAAGAGAAATAACTGCCTGAAGGCTATGCAATTGCTTTTGTTTACAACAAAATATAATCCTATAAAATGACAATGCTTAACATTCCCCAAATTCTTTTCCTCTTTAAATATATGTGAAGAAGGGATTATATTTTTTCTATTTCATGCAGAACAGGATTCAAGGACAGTCCTTCTTCTAGTTGGCAGGGAGATATGGAATTATACAAACACTTGAAAACAAATTTAGTATTAACATTCTTTAACAGGAACACATCCTTAACTACTAGTGTTTGAAAAAAGATTCCACTTATCTCTTTGATTTTATTACCTTTGATGTCCCTGAACCACCCACTGAAAGAAAAGGGAACTGAAGTTGTGGGTAAAAGCAAAGTTGGTATTAGCAGCCATGAATGGAAAAAAAGGTCTTATAGAAATGAAAGCTACTTATTCTTCTTGGTTCTTGACAGTTTGTACACTGAAAATAAAATACAAATCATCATATGAAAAACATCATGTCTAATCTTTCTATTTGTTATTTTACAATGCCTGATGATTATGAAGTGTATGTGTGTGTATGCATGTATCATCAACAACAACAAATAAATATATGTATGTATACATAATATTCAAATCCTAGTATTCTTTTTTAGAATTAAAAAATTCAAAATAGAGTTCTTTGAGATAATTCATTCTCTAATCAAAACATGGGGCTTCCCAGGTGGCTCACTGGAAAAGAACTTATCTACCAATGCAGGAGACTTGGGTGTGATCGCTGGGTCCAGAAGACCTCTTGGAGAAGGAAATGGCAATCCACTCCAATATTCTTGCCTGGGATATCTCATGGACAGAGGAGCCTAGTGGGTTACAGTCTATCAGGCCTCAAAAGAGACGGATGTGACTTAGCGACTAAACAACAATCCAAAAAATGCTTTAATTTCACTTTTTGTACAAAATATTATATGTTGGGGTTTTAGAAAATGAATAAAACTAAAGGAGAATATATTCTATTAACGGAGATGATTCACTTCACTATTGCCTTGAGAACCCATGAATGGTATGAAAAGGCAAAAAGATATGACACTGAAAGATGAATTCCCCAGGTCAGAAGGTGCCCAATATGCTACTGGAGATCAGTGTAGAAATAACTCCAAAAAAATGAAGAGACAGAGCCAAAGCAAAAACAACACCCAGTTGTGGATGTGACTGGTGATGGAAGTAGTCAGATATTATAAAGAACAATAGTGCATAGGAACCTGGAATGTTAGGTCCATGACTCAAGGTAAATTGGAAGTGATCAAACAGGAGATGGCAAGACTGAACATTGACATTGTAGGAATCAGTGAACTAAAATGGATGGGATGGGTGAATTTAATTCACATGACCATTATATCTACTACTGTGGGAAATAATCCTTTAGAAGAAATGGGGTAGCCCTTATAGTCAACAAAAGAGTCTGAAGTGCAGTACTTGGGTGCAATCTCAGACAAAATTATCTCTCTTCGTTTCCAAGACAAACCATTCAATATCACGGTAATCCAAGTCTATGCCCCGACCAGTAATGCTGAAGAAGCTGTAGTTGAATGGTTCTATGATGAACTATAAGACCTTCTAGAACTAATACCCAAAAAAGATGTCTTCTTCATCAAAAGGGACTGGAATGCAAAAGTAAGAAGTCAAGAGATAACTGGAGTAACAGGTAAGTTTGCCCTTACAAACTNCGTGTAATGGTACCTCATTGTGGTTTTGATTTGCATTTCTCTGATAATGAGTGATGTTGAGCATCTTTTCATGTGGTAAACACCCTCTTACAACACAAAAGATGACTCTACACATGGACATCACCAGGTGGTCAATACAGAAATCAGATTGATTATATTCTTTGCAGCTAAAGATGGAGAAGCTCTATATAGTCAGCAGAAACAAGACTGGGAGCTGATTGTGGCTCAGATCATGAACATTGGCAAATTCAGACTTAAATTGAAGTAAGTAGGGAAAACCACTAGACCATCCATGTATGACCTAAATCAAATCCTTTATGATTATACAGTGGAAGTGAGAAATAGATTTAAGTGACTAGATCTGATAGAGTGCCTGATGAACTATGGACAGAAGTTCATGACATTGTACAGAAGACAGGGATCAAAACCATCCCCAAGAAAAAGAAATGCAAAAAAGCAAAATGGTTACCTGAGGAGGCATTACAAATGGTTGAGAAAGGAAGAGAAATGAAAAGCAAAGGAGAAAAGGAAATATAAACCCATTTGAATGAGGTGTTCCAAAGAATAGCAAGGAGAGATAAGAAAGCCTTCCTCAGTGATCAGTGCAAAGAAATAGAGGAAAACAATAGAATGGGAAAGACTAGCGATCTCCTCAAGAAAGTTAGACATACAAAGCGAACATTTCATGCAAAGACAGGCTCAATAAAGGACAGAAATTGTATGGACCTAACAGAAGCAGAAGATATTAAGACGAGGTGGCAAAATACACAGAAGAACTGTACAAAAAAGATCTTCATGACCCAGATAATTACAATGATGTGATCAGTCACCTAGAGCCGGACATCCTGGAATGTGAAGTCAAGTGGGCCTTAGGAAGCATAACCACAAACAAAGCTAGTGGAGGTTGAAGGAATTCCCAATTGAGCTATTTCAAATCCTAAAGGATGATGCTGTGAAAGTGTTCCAGTCAATAAGCCAGCAAATTTGGAAAACTCAGCAGTGGCCATAGGACTGGAAAAGGTCAGTTTTCATTCCAATCCCAAAGAAAGGCAATGCCAAAGAATGCTCAAACTACCACACAATTGCACTCATCTCACACTAGTAAAGCTAGTAAAGTAGTAAAGTAAAGCTTGCTTTAGTGATAGTTCAGTTCAGTTCGTTCGCTCAGTCGTGTCTGACTCTTTGTGACCCCATGAATCACAGCACGCAGGCCTCCCTGTCCATCACCAACTCCCAGAGTTTACTCCAACTCATGTCCATTGAGTCGGTGATGCCATCCAGCCATCTCATCCTCTGTTGTCCACTTCTTTTCCTGCCGCCAATCCTGCACAGCATCAGGGTCTTTTCCAATGAGCCAACTCTTTGCATGAGGTGGCCAAAGTATTTGAGTTTCAGCTTTAGCATCAGTCCTTCCAATGAACGCCCAGGACTGATCTCCTTTAGGATAGACTGGTTGGATCTCCTTGTAGTCCAAGGGGACTCTCAAGAGTCTTCTCCAAAAACACAACAGTTCAAAAGCATCAATTTTTCGGTGCTCAGCTTTCGTCACAGTCCAACTCTCACATCCATACATGACCACTGGAA